TTTTTTTTTTTTTTATCTTTTTATAATAGATATTTATAATGTTGAATGCCAGAATCACATACTAATAGACTAACCGACATATTGTTAATTGTCTAATTACTGTAATAATAATGTGTGTGCATATTGTTAATTGTCTAATTACTATAATAATAATAATGTGCGTGTGTATAGGGTCACACTATGGTGAGAATGAGCTTAGTGAAATAAATAAGAATAAATCTCAACCATCGGATCGGATACTCCAACATCTAAAAAAACCCAAATTCTTGACACATTAAGGGCAGAGTGGTAAATTACCTACCCAACCAACTTTGGGCCCCGCATAACACCAACTAACTCCTACCCAATCCCAAACACACCAACTCACATGTGGGACCCACCATTCACTCTCTCTCTCTCTCTCTCATGCACGCATACACACGCAGTAGCTACCCCCACCTCGACCATCCACCGGCATCGCCTTCATTTTCGTCGATGGCTACCGTCTTATCTCGCGGCCGCAGTTCCACATTGCTGGATTGTCAAACTTTCGTCACAGAGTCCGGCAGTTCCCCCACGAGTTCCTCAGCGCCGGTCGACGAGGTCCCAACGCGCCGCCGACGCTGCAATTAGAGGATGGCAGGAGTCACACCAGTGTTAGAGAGCTCCCATGACCGATGTCGTCATGGTTGACCGGAGGCCAAAGCTCACCAGCGAGCCCGACGCAAGCGGCCGCACTGCACCCCCGCACTTGGCGGCCGACATTGGCCACTCCAGCGTTGTCGGAGAGCTCTTCATTTCTGCCTCGCGGTCACAGTCGATTAGAGCCATAGATGCCCTTGCCGGTGCCTGAAAAAACATAAACCGAACTTGCAAAAATGTGGGGTTGATGATTGGAAATTTGATGAGTTGGAAGGATCTATATGCAAGTTTAATAAATTTAATTATATTCAATTTAGTACATAGACTAAATTTGTAATTTATAAAAAAAATATAGAAAAATATTATTATTTATATATTTTTTCACATATATATTAAAATAATAAATAAAAATAATAAAAAATTAGTAAAATATTATAAAATAATATAGAATACTAAATAAAAATAATTAGTTAATAATATTATATAGTAAATGTGAATAAAAAGAATATTACAATATAATGTATGCAACTGCGACTATCCTAGTCACCTTTCCTTTAAAAGGCCAAACATAGATCTTGGTATCAAATTGTTTGCAATTTTCCACAATACATTGGGGGTGTGATTGGTTGAGGTGATAAGGAGTGACGTCACACCATTTGTTATTTTATTCATGTGTTTATAGTGTTTGGTTGAACATGTCTCGGCCCTAAAAAATGGCATGGCCCGGTCAAATTATTCTTCAATCTATATATATATAATTACTAGCTCATATGCATTTAATAAAACCTCAAATTTTTTCCCTCCAAAAGAGGTTACTTTGCATTAATTAAGTACTTATTTTTTTTATTTATTTTATTATATAACAATTACTCCTAACAAATCACAAAGCCACATTAAATGAAATTATAATTTAAATTTATTTTCAAACTATTTATTTGATTTTTTTTTTTGGTTTTAACTCATTAAGCAAGTGTTTTTATCAACATTAGTTATTTAATTTTTATGATATAACCAAAATTTTTAAAATTTCGATATTTTAATAATAATTATCTCAATATTATTTTATCTAATAATTGTTCATACTAAAAAAGTATTGCAAAAATTATATAATTGCAATCGATATAAAAACTAAAATGTAAGTTAATAGTTTATCGTTCATTTTTACTATGATAAAATTTATAAAATGTGATATGCTATTATCTAACTTATGATTTTAAATATTACATACAGATACATATAACATA